CTGAGGAAAGGTAAAGGGCTAGTAGATAAGGTGTATTAACAGCGATCAGGATGCTCCTTGAAAAGTTAGACAATGATCATTTATCTCTGTCTAGAAATGGGCTTACATGGCATTTGTGTTGATATGGAAGCCAGAGGAAAATGATACAGGCTTCTAACAACCCATTCGTTCGGTTTCCTATATCGAATGACAGAAGAGGGACAGTTGCGCATGATGTGAGTGCAGAATGAGGGCAAGTCAAGTTTACGATATTGCTTGGAACTGGCGATCTGAGTCGTTCGAGTAGCTCCGTTCACATGACACTGAGGCGACGGTAAGCGTCACGGTATTGAAGCATCATGTTGCGGAGAGCACCGAATCAACCGGACGGTGTATGTGTGTGCGTGTTTGTTCACGTCACTTCACACTTGCGAAATGGCCGCCATAATGTAGATCACCTTAGGGTAAAAATGAAGGGGTTAAGATTAAATTAGAGTGACCTAGATGGTAAGGCACGTTGGGAGCCGATAAAAAGTTCACTGCATCGGCGCAGCGCGTGAGAAGGGTGTCACTTGGAGCCACCTCCCGGTAACCTTCGTGCTGTCGTGTTTCCCTATTCGCGTGAGCCGTAAGTAGTGACAGATGGGGTTAGTGGAAGTGAACGGTGCGTGAATAGTTTCATTGGCAAAATATGAATCACCAGAGATGAGTGGGACTGTAACCTTCGAACCTGGAGCGACACCTTTACTTGAAGCAGGATGACTGCCACCAGCACTGACATTGCCCGTGCAACTTTACCTTGGTCTACGGTAGTCCCACTCATTCCGATAAGTCAGTTGTAAAGTGGACACGCGAGAAACAGAACTAGCCAAATTGGAAGACGTAAAATTCCTCCGCTCAGAGGTTCGGCTGAAAACGCTAAAGCCGTAGGGTTTAGCCGCTTTGGAGGTGATTAATAGCGGTGGCGCACCAACGGAATCTCGCCTGGGATGCACGCGCTCATTGATCCAATCGATGGCCCTTGCTTGGTCAAATCGCATTCCCTTCCTATTGGGGAGATTCCAGATAGAGCAAATTTGAAAGGTTCCTTGCCTTCGGAGAGCGCACCAAGAAAAAACATTTCAGTTGAGGAGTGCCGATTCACTTTCCTCTCTCAGCACCGTGAACGCGTTTGCCATTTGCACGAAATTTTGCGGATAACTTTCCGAGCGGCGACTGAAGCACCATCCTTCATGAGTTCTTCATCTAAGTATATCTTCACAACACGAGCATTTCGGTGGCTTTTTCTCACAAACAATAGTGACCATGAGAAAACATTCCATAAAATTGAGTAGCCAGTATGGATATGGGGAGCTCTTAAACTGTCGTATATTCGTCGTATTGTTTTCGTATCTTGCGTTGCGACACAAATGCTGAGGTGTTTCCCACCTATAGCTAACGTGTATAATGATGACGGTTATGATGCTGCTGCTGATGATGATAGCAGTCTACAAATTTTTTGAGTTCTTCACTGGTTGATCTGATGATCCGTCTCTGTTGCTGTCGTTGCTCACCAGCTTTGCTATTTGACTTTGATCTTCGAATTGGCTTCAACTCGTTTGGTGGCGAGTGTTACACGGACTCGGCAGCTATTAGATAGACACCTAGGACGAAGGTGATTGCACCGAACTTGTTTACAGCACAGTACTAATAAGCATTTTGTATACTAATCAGGGTTTGTCTCCCTAGTTTGCTGACAGCTCGCTTACTTCTGCTTGCTCACATAACGCAAAATACTGACACCTGCTAATCTGTGTTTCATCAATTCAGCTTCTCTTCTAAATTAATAAATTTTTTTGCAGTATCCAGTTGAATAACAAATGAGCGGAGTTAGTCTGCCACGTTACTAACTATCCCAATAAGTTGCAATCTAGCATACCTTGCGTTTGCATATTGTTTTTTTGCTTTTTCTGACCTAATATCTAGCACCACGAATTGTAGGTTTCTAGGCACCTCATCTCCCAAAGAGAACTTCTTGCTTGACATGCACAGCAGTTTAATGGCTGTTAAGCGGTAATGACTACTAATGTATATAGTACACACACGCTTCCTCATTCTTTTAGGATACCTCCTATCACGAACTGAACGCGCTACTATGCAGTGCTACTAGTTCAGACATGATAGTACTTGCAGGGGATATGAGCGCACAAGTAGTGCGTCTGAGCTCTTCAGAAGCTCAGCTGGGTGGTAATTATGGGCTTAACTCCGAACGGACTGACAACGGTGTGCGTCTGCTGCAACTGTGTGCGGAGCACCAGTTGTTTCTTAGTAGCACTACCTTTAGACATGGGGTGTCGAAGTGCCACTTGGCGTCCACCTGTAGCTGGCCAGCGATGGACCCGAAATGTCCACCTAGCCGTAAGTTACAGATGGCGTAGCTCCATCCTGGATTGCCGCTCGTACTGAAGTACCTGCCTCGAGTCTGACAGTGCTTTGGTTCGCTGTCATTTCTCCATTAACTTTACCGGGAAGCGCACCCAGCCTCTCCTTCGATTGGCAACTGGGGAATTGCCTTAGCTCTCGGTCAGGTAAGCCTATCAAGACGCACTGCGTACCGAACTTTCGCTGTCTTGTTCTAATGACACTGAGCTTCAGTGGAATAGGATCTCGACCGCCATGCACGACGCAGGAGCATCTACTTATGGCACTATCAATCGTTACCGCACCAGTCACTGGATATCCGAGAGGTCGGTGAACCTGTTGGAACCTAGGAGAAACCTCCCGGCTAACTTTGAGCACAGTGTGACCAGACAGGCTATTAGGCGCGAACTAATGCGGAGTTTACGTGCTGACAAGGAAGTCTGGTTGACCACTAGAGCTCAAGAAATGGAGGAGTCAGGAGCAGTAGGCAATTACCGCAAGCTCTTCCAGCTGATACGCACCACTGGTCCCAGGGAATCACGCGTCAGTGAGACAATCAGAGACAGCGTGGGTGCACTGATACACAATAAGGAGCGCCGTATGGCTCGTTGGACGGAACACTTTCAAAATCAGTTCAGCTGGCCCCCTTCTCACTGGACGTCTTTCTACTTATGTGATGCAGGACGAACACTGGACGGTTAGTCTAGAGCATCCGTCAGAGGGCGAGGTCCGAAACGCGATCACAGCCCTCAATCGTTTTCGTGCTGTTGGCGCAGAGTCTCTCTCACCTGCACTATTTAGGGATGGAGGTGAGGTCCTCTACAAAGCACTGAACTCCCTATTCGAACGTATCTGGAAGGAAAAGTGTCCCGGCTAATTGGAGTGGCAATATACAAAAAGGGCAGCCGCACAGACTGTTTTAACCACAGGGTATTAGCCTAACGCCAGTTGTGACAAAATTACTGGCCTCGATTATCGTTCGTCGCCTCACTGCAGAACGGGAATCTCGGATTAGGGAAGATCAGGCCGGTTTTCGCCCAGGACATGGCTGTATAGACCATATGTTCACTTTGCGGCAGGTGCTAGAGCAACGCCAAGCATGCGGCGGACGGACAATAGCTGTGTTCTTCGATTTCAAGAGTGCGTTCGATTCAGTCGATCGATCGATTCTGTTCGAACTACTTGCGCGGAAAGGTGTTCCCACGAAATATGTGAACATCCTTCGTGCTCTATACTCGAACACTACAGGCCGCGTCAAGGTCTACGTTGTCCTATCGGATAGCTTTTCAACTACAAGTGGCGTTCGTCAGGGTTGTCCAATTTCCCCGTTTTTGTTCAATTTCGTCGTGGATTCTATCATGGAGTGTTCCCTTGCGGAACCTCATGATGTAGGCGTTGAAGTGCTGCCTGGTGAAAGATTAGTTGATCTAGATTATGCAGACGAAATTGCCTTGCTTTTCGATGTGGTTGCGGCGGCACAATCAACCCTGAATAGCTTGTCTAGACTGGTCCCATTATTTGGTATGCACTTCGCACCTTCAAAGTGCAAAGTGTTGCTGCAGGACCACCGGCCACCTTTTGACCCCTTGACCCTTGTTAACGAAGAACTCGAGGTGGTTGATCAATTCACTTATTTTGGAAGGTGCATCAGCAACGATGGGCACATGGAAACTGACGTGAGCTCACGCATAGCAAAGGCCACAGCTGCCCTCTTGAACCTGCGGCATCCTTGGTGTCAAAAGCGAGTTTCCCTCCGTCTGAAAGGCTGTGTATACAGGGCCACAGCGACGGCCGTTCTGTTCTGTGGAAATGAGGCTTCGCCCCTTTGGTCTGAAGATCTGCGGCGGATTCAAGTCTTTGATCATCGTTGTCTGCGAAGCATCGCTGGAGTCGGATGGCACCAGGGTATCCGCAACGACGATATGCGTAGGCGAGTACTAGGTAGTGATAATCATGCTAGCTCTCTAGAACAACCGATAGCGCTGAATAAGTTGCGTTGGCTCGGGCACGTGCTACGTATGTCTGGTCACCGTTTACTTAGGATGGCCTTGTTTAGTCTGCCAGGTGTGGGATGGCGCAAGGACCGAGGTGGACGGAAGTTGACTTGGCAGAGGGAAATGAAGTCACTGATGACCAAACTTGGTGCCGTTGGTCCGTCTCGCCTTCCGGGCTGGAGTCCACGTGACTCGCCTTGTGTTTGGGTCGAGACTTTACGGGACATCGCTCGCAACCGACACCAATAGCGCGTCTGGCGCCGTCTCTTAGTCGGATTTCCTCATTGAAGTGTGTTTGGTGCTGTTATCTGCTTGGTACTGGCTGTTTATGACGCGGGGCAGTGAAGGCCGCAAAGAAGCTGTCTCGCCGATGCCGCGTTATCTTTGCACGATAGCCAGCTCTTTGGGACTGTATGTTGTCTACACGAGGTGTAGGCGCCTTGACCCTGAATATTCGCTTATGTCATGAACTTTTTCAGATAATTCCCCCTTCTCTTCCTCTTATTATTTTTATTCCATAAGTCATGCTTGCATGGCAGCGAAGGATCAGTTCAAATGGCTGATGTACTGCTGTTAATGTTGTTGATTCCTTATGGATTGCTTGCGTTTTCCATTTTTTCCGACTAGGATATCAGCTGGTCGGACGTGTATCACCGCCGCCTTCGGCCTCCCTTCCGACCCAAGCTGGCGGCGGACAATGACGTATCCATGTTTGATCCCACGTTTACACGTCTGCAGCCGGTTGTCAGTCCTTCCGACAGCGGACGACCAATACCACCAGATATGTTTCAAGTGAGTACTTCATGTCTTCGGCGTCTTGGCACATATGTTTCTATGTTACGTCTACTTATGCATTCATGACAGTTACCAGGAAAATGTGCTGGCCGCGACGGTTTACTTTTCCCTGACCCAGTAAATATTTTGAAACAAAAGCATCGGTGCGCCATCCAACTGGCTTTACACAGGTTGCACCGACCTGCACTCGCTTTAACTCAGATCCATTAGTCATTTCTTACCATCGAACCGAACTTGTTTGATGCGTTTGTCATAACCAGCGTTACCGTAGAATGAAGTACAAACAATTGGTTAGCATTTAGAAGAAAATGAGCACTAACGTTGGCAAAAATTCAGTTACACCGACAAAAATGTTGTGTTCTTTGGATGCGAGGCTAGAAATCCGGTGCACTAGGCCGAATCCAACAGTGTCATTTGGTTCTCTACCGCGCCGTCAATAATAGTCTCCAAACATTTATGCTTTTCACCCCATTGCTCCATCTTAGAAGGCCGCACGTACCAACGTAGGTGAGCGTTTCAACAAACTTCACCGTCTGACCACACTGATTTTCTGGGGGCCAGACCTAGTATTCGGAAACGGTGCATGTTAAGATAGACGGCGACGGGTTCACGAGCATTGTCTAGTCAAAGCAACCGCTTCTTGCTTTATAATCAGTCCAGGATGTTACTTATCACAGTTCCTCAGCATTCCTCACTCATTAGTCCGACTGGACACCAACCAATTGCATAAGCATCAATAACAAGAGCAATCTGCTTCATATGCTTCTCAACACGACCATTTCTCTGAGCTCGCAACGGATGAGCTAACACTACACCGTCTCCACCGACAATTGACTTGTTACAAACTCAAGCAGGCTGCACCAATGCGCTCAACAATCTTCTCAGTGATGTACTCACTCAAATAAGTGAACCCATCGACAATTTCCAGGGGTTCTTCGATGATAATTAGGGCAAGTGACACTTCGGTTTAGCATCCCCCTCCAATCACGATCTCAATCGTTAGGCATAATATGACTTTCTTTTACGGCAGCCAGCTGTTAGCTCTCCGGAACGATGTCCATCCGTTACTGGGGACTCAGCGGGCGTGCCACTGTTTGTTTGTTTTTTTCTTTTCTTGCCTTTTGTATTGCGGCACAATAGCTGAGGTGTTTTCCACCTCCAGCTAACGTGTAATGATGATGATGATGATGATGGTTCGCTCCAAAAGTTCAAGCACTATGCCGAAGCCTACTGCATTGTGCGTCAAGTTGCCCGGATGTGACTGCACTTGTACTTAGTCAGACGGTGTGTGCACTACATAGTCCACGTTCTTGAAGTTCATAAGCCCATTACCGGGTACGAATTCCTACTCCAACAGAACCAGCAATGGTGGGAGAGATACAGCATCTCTGATATGCCCTATGTACCCTGGCGAAGTCCGTATACTCTCATACCTCCTCGGGGGTCAATATACAATCAATCAACAACAGCAGTACATCGGCCATTTGAGCTTATGCTTCGCTGCCATACCACCATGATGACCTATAGAATAAAGAATAATAAGAGCGTGAGAAGCGGAATCACCTGAAAACCTTAATGCCCTAAGCAAGCGTTCAGGATCAAGGCGCCTACACCTTGTGTTAACAACATACCATCACGAACAGTTGGTTATCGTGCATAGATAAAGCGGCATCGGTGAGACAGCTTCCTTGCGGCTTTCATTGCCCTGCGCCATAATCGGCCATTACCCCGCAGATAACTCAGCACCAAACACACTTTAACAGGCAGTCCGACTAGGAGACGACACCAGACGCGCTACTGGTGTCGCTTGCGAGCCATGTCCTGCAAAGCCTCGTGGCAGGCACAAGACGAGTCACGTGGACTCCAGCCTGGAAGACGAGACGGAGCAACGGCACCCAGTTTGGTCATCAGTGACTTCATTTCCCGCTGCCAAGTCTACTTCTGTCCACCTCGAGCTTTGCGCCATCCTCCCCCTGGCAGGCTAAACAAGACCCTCCTAGGTAAGCGGTGACCAGGCATACGTAGCACGTGCCCGAGCCAACGCAACTTATTCAGTATTATCGGTTATTCTAGGGGGCTAGCATGCTTATCACTACTTAGTACTGGCATTACTCGCAAGCTCATTAGATCCACTAGCCTCACAAAGCTTGATGTCAGGGAGACTATTTGCGAAGCTGATGATTTGCACCTTTTACAACCTGGAAACACTTGAATCGATTGGCTGAGCATTTTCATTCCCAGTTCAATTGGCCATCACCGTCCATTTTTATTCTCTGCGAACCCAACTTCCCGCTGAGTCGTCACACTTGCTCGACGCAGCGAAGCGGAAGTTTGTCTTGCGATTCGACAATTAAGACGATTCAACTCTGCGGGTTCAGACGGACTTCCTCCGAGGCTGTTGAAATATAAGGGCACACTTATCATCAACCAGCTAACATCGTTGGTCTCCAAAATCTGGATTCAGAAAAGAATGCCTTCTTCCTGGGGCGCGTCAGTTGTCCTGATTTTTCAGAAGAGTGCTCACACTTCACGCACCAATCACTGGGGCATTAGTCTCATTTCGGTTACCTCCAAGCTGTTGGCATCCATACTGCTTTGTGGACTATCCGCCATTCTTGAATCGCAGTTCCTGGCTTCCGTCCCAGGCGCCGGTGTGGGAATCAAATATTCACACTCCGCCAAATCCTCGAACACCACCATCTTTACTAGAGACCTACCATCATTGCATCTCTAGACATCCGTACTGCATTCGACTCGCTTGATCAACCTACGGTGACATTCCTTGCTAAAGAACGGGGTCCTTGAAGTGCACTGCCATCCTACGTGCATTATATTTCCACCTCTCCGGGAGAGTGAGGGTCTATGCCAAGCTTTCGTCGTCCTTCGATGTCAGTAGCGGTGGACGACAGGGCTGTCCTATGTCCTCTTTTCTCTTCAATTTTGCGGTTGAAGACGTCCTGTCGAGAGCACGGGAAAGTTCTAAAAATTTATATCTGCAGCTGCTGCCGGACAAGCGGCGACCGCTTAGCTTATGCCGATAACATCGTCTTACCTGGCGACGACTCACAGAGCACGCAAACCATCCTAAACCGTTTGGCGATTGAGGCATCTAAGTACGGAATGTGCTTCGCTTCTTCAAAGTGTAAAGTGCTTTTTTAGGGTTGGAACTCGTTTGTTCACCTGTTCACCATTGATGGTACCTAGCTAGAACAAGATAGCTTTGTTTACCTAGGCAGCTGCATGTCTGTTAGTGGCACTATGGAGATGGAAATTTCTCTCTATATCGCAAAAGCTCGGTCGGCGTTCGTCCTGAAGTACATGTGGCGTCTTCGGGATGTCTCCCTCTCGGTGAAGGGTAGCGTTTACTGTGCTACCTTTCGAACGGTGTTATACGGAAGCTGTTCGTGGCCAGTTCGCGTAGTTGACTGGCACCGGCTCTCGACCTTCGACAATGAGTGCTTGAGGAGGATTGCTCGTGTGAGATGGCAGCAAAGTATCTGGGACGGTGTAGTCCAACGTCGTGCCTTAGGGGATGCGAGTATTCCCTTCAACAAGCTGGTTTTGTTTTGCGTCAGTTAATATGGCTCGGGCACGTCCTGTGTATATCAGCTGAGCGCTTGCCCCATGGCGCACTTTTCGCTCGTGCAGGCTTGAAGAGACCGCGTGGCGGTCAGCCGTCCACTTGGCGACATGATATGTAATTGGTAACTTCACGTCTTGCTGCTGTTAGATCCACACGTCTGCTTGGTTGCGGACCAAAGGACGAGGAGGGCCGATGTCTGGATGTGGCACGAAGTTGAAACCAGTGGATGATCTGTGTATGTACTTGTTTAGATTCAAATGCTTCATGCTTAAAAATTGATGACAAAAATATTGAAAAATGGCGTGTGGGAAAAATGACGAAAGCTTTCCTTCTTCTTGCGTCGCAGTAGCTAAAGTGTGTTGCCCACCTTCAGTTAATGTACCATGCTGATGATATGGTGACTAAACCTGGGATTTTTTGTATGGCTCCATGTCTATTCGTTAGACTGTTGCTACTAGTACTACTACTGCTAATACTAATATTAATACTAGGCAAATTCCGTTTCCTGGCTCTCTGGGTTGGAGTTAGAATGGCTCCTTATTCCATGAAAGCGACTCTGTAGCCTGGTGTCATACCCCGCTGCCTTGAGGTAAGATTTTTGAACACCCTAATCGTTCTCGCTTATGCATTTGCAATCTGACAGTATCCTGCCCACTCAATACCATCCTATGAATTTCCTTTCAAACAATCTCTTGATGCTCTGACCGTCGTATAGGATAATCAACGGCGCCCTATCTGCTGCATCGAGCGGGGCGACTAGGGCTTTAGATAATACTGCTCAAGCCTTCCCGTCTTCTTACTCCTCCTGTTGCGCTTTTTCCTCATTATCGTCCTGTTCCCGATTCACTTTTATCCTCACTGTTTTCAACCCCTAGTTCTTGGCCGTTCCCGTCTTGCTTCAATAGTCTCTTGTCTTCTAGTTTCAACTCATACGCAATCCCAGGGCATCGCTCCAGCCCAGTCGACAAGTCTATGTTCAGCCAATCAGAAAGCGCCAGTTCCTCCGTTTCTCTTTGGAACCCCCGATACTCGCAAAGACTGACATGCTTCAACGTGCGCACTTTGTTACAGCTTGGCCAACAGGCTGCACTTGCCCGAACACTAAAGGCCCCATCAATCGATATTTGTCGCTTATCGGAAACCCGCTTGCAACATCCAAGCTCCGTGCTTATCCTGCGATCCTCACATGCGACACTGGTGGTACATTCTCATTGCGCTTGTCGGTCAAGCCGGCGTAGGCATTGTTTTGAGTCCCCGGGTTGAAACTGTCCTGATCGATTAAATCTCAGTCAACAGTTGAATGTGCACCGTCAGCTTGACTGACTCGTTCCACGCTTCGAAGTCGCGTAAGGACAAACGGTGTCTGTTCGTTATTGCGACCTACGCCTCCACAAACTGCAGCACTGATTCGGTG